AGAAGGCTTGAGAAGGTTGCTTTTGCAAAGGTGACTCTGGGTTCGGGACTCGCCCCGAAACCCAACAGGATCGCAAAAAGCAAAAAAACACATCCCCCGCTTGGTTCTCGATGCTTCACTGTTCCATCGTGTCGCAACCCCCCACTCGTGTCGTTGCTCATTGACGGCTGTCATACGCAGAGGTACGGGGAGGCCTGATGCGAGGGTCAGAAACAACCAATTGGAAAGTTTATCTGATGTCACGAACTTGGCATCTGCCTGTTATTGGATCGCCAACAACCCCAGGGTCTCAGTGCAGCTTCTACCCCGTCCGCCCTGGGTTTGCTTGCCTTTCCGGCGTCTCCACGGGGGCGGGAGCGATAACACGCGTCTTATTCCCCTTCATCATCAACCTCCGCCGCGGCCAGATCTCGGGGCACGACCAATACCTACATGCCTTGATATCAGTACAGAGTACTACTAGTACTACACAACATACTCGGGTGCTACCCACAAGTGCGCGGATCGAGCCGTGTCCATGACAAGACGATTCATGCAAAAGCCAAACAAGGGTCAGCCGGCACGAACATGTTGGATCTGGAAATTGGTTTCCTGCAGGCCATCACGGATCTACACCCGTTTAGGCCAATCCTCCCGACCATGGGCTCGTCCAACAGGGGTCTGCTGCGCTTGCTCGACAGTTGACGCTTTGTTGTTTGGCAGCATCGACATTCCGGATGAGCGCATGGGAGGCGAAAGCGGTCAGAAGATTGTAATGTATGATGTATGCATGCCCATGAGTCTGGTGGAACAGATCGACCCATCAGCATTTCTCGTCGCGGTTCCCTGCTACCAAGACGGTACTCCGTAGACCACCCTGCTCTTGATGTCTTGCAATATCAGCGGCTTTAAGATCCTGTCATCTGGGTTTAGTGGCCGATTCATGTTGCACGACGTCCCTCGACGGGTCATGCGGCTTTTGAAGAGCAAATATAGTAACGCAAGGTATATTTGAAAAAGTGCCAAAGTGTAATGTTGAACCCCCCCTTTCTCGGTGTCGTTCTTGAAGTGACCCAGGATTCGGGCCCTTTGCGAACTGCCATTATTATTTAGAACATTTATTATACGGAGTAGAGGGTGGTACATACAAAAACCGACAAGGCAGTTCGGCCTCGTATTTCACCCGCTGTGCCGAGTATTCCGTACTGCATCTCGACTCACGCCGCCAGTCGTAATACACCGTCCAGATTTCTGCAACCTGATACCCGTCCTCTTTCCATTTTGATTTAATTTTCTCTGGTTCCGTGCTACCAGCTCTTCTGGGTATAGATTAGACCACTGTTCAACCTGGATGTTTAGCAATCAGCTCTCATGGTTTACTTGATCTTACTTACGTTGCTTCTCTTTGACCAAACGGCCCGCACATGACAAATTATACATATACGATGGCTTGATACAACTCGTGTCAGTCAGCGTGGGATGGGAGACTTTTCGGTGCCCCATTTAACATGCCAAGCGACACGTCGTTGCATTCGAAAGGGGCTCTCTGTCCCTGGAAAATGCCGCAACTCCAGCTTCTATACGTGGCCTGCGTTTGACTCTTCATGTGGTTCCGCCATCTCCAACAACGACATGATACACCGACGACTTTCAATGGCCTGTCGTTTCCCATCCTAGTCTACGACAAGCCAGATCCAACGCCCATCTTTGCTGCAGGCCATCCCCACTTGCATCAAGCTTACAAAAGAAAGAGGCTGTATTACCATCCGGCCACGAAGCACTCACATTGAGTAGCAGAGTCGTCTATCCTCAGAAAGACTCTACATAAACCCCATCTCCAGCGAGTCCATCTCTTCGCTGGACACGTCTGTCTCTGTAGCAGATGGGCTTGACGTCGGACAAGGGAGAATAACCGCTTCTTTGCGTCCCATGCGGGTGACTTTGGGCAATCAGATACCAGACTGTCTCGCCCAGTCAACCAGGCCAGGCCCTTGCATCACCTAGAGATGGCTCCCCGTCTCTTTGACGCATTCTCAAACCTGGGCCGTGGTATTGCGGCGAATAGCCGGCTTTGTATGACACCCCTTGCGTCCAACGTTGTCATACCCACTAGCATGTCATTCTCTACGCCAGGCTGTGTACTTGTATTCATCCACCAATTTTCCAGAATATGAGCGAAAGGGGGGGATGAGCTGTTCGCAACCATATCTACCCAAAGAAGATAAATACGCGTTACTGGGTTGAAAATACCATCTAGTTCTGCCGGGTGCCTGCACCACTCTTACTAGAGGCACGGCAATAAACATAGCCCAGGCACATGTGATGGCACCCAGATGGACATCTTACCGCGATATATAGCTAAAGTATAGCACGGCGGTGCTTCACATAGCAGTGTAGGCGCACCGCGTCCAACACTTACCAGCCCGCCCACAATGTAGTATATCCAAGGCTCTCTGGCAAACAAAGTCTTGAACCTAGTTCACCACCGAAACCTAATGGACGTCTTTTTCCACCAAAATAATAATAATAAATAAAAATAAATAAAAAAAGAAAGAAAGAAAAAGAAACAACAAGCGGTTCGCGGAAGGAAAACATGCGCCTCATTTCCAGCGCCACGGAGGCATCGACTTGCAAAAACAGGCACAGGAATAGGCTGTACACAGAGTATAAAAGTGGCCGCCGTCCTACGGTGCGCAGAGACTCTCATAATGCGACGAAAGGGATGCCATCAAGCCCAGGGAGACGACTATAATAAACCACGGTAGGAGTCAAGCAAAACCCGGTACGCGGGCGAAGAGCGAAGCCGTGTCTCACCGGCCAAGGCCCTCACGACTCACGAGCGCCCATCTCGTCCCGTGCCACGCATGACGCGTAGTCTCAGTGGGCGATGAGGCGTTCCTTTTTGTCGCGCCGCCCTTTATTCGACTCATCATATTCATTCAGGTCTTGCTTGCAAAACCGGACGGGCAAGCCAACTAGACGTGTTTTTCGAACCAGCTGGGTGGTTGGGTCCCCCGGCAGCGCTCTCCTTCCAGACGGTTACAGCGGAGCGGAATTGGGAAATATTTAGCGACGGTCACGGGCTTCGGTGCAACGGGGGGGTGTCTCGGGTCTTGTCCTCGCTCTCCCTTCTTCTCGGCCAAATAAGATGGTTTTGCCCCGTTCTGGCGCCATTTCCTGCTCCTGCTTGTTCGACTTCATCCTATTCCTCTGAATCCCATCCATCGTCAGGACCACTCAGGATTTTTTTTTTCACGGCCTTCTTTGCGATGGCCGTCGTTGATGACCATCTCCAGTGGGGTCATTCGCGGCTTCTGGCCTTCCAGACAAGAGGAGGATTGCCTGCGCGGACTGGAGGGATCGCGCAGCTGGCTCAGAAACAGCTCAGCAGGGTGGTATTCACACTCCATGAGGGAGTCGAGGTTCCACCGCGACGAAGCAGCCCTAACCAAAGCAAGCAGGTAAAGGTACTTGGGGGGCGTTGGCTAGTGGGCAGCTATGGCGCTGTCTCGCACGCTGACTCGACACGGGATGGTCCCAAGCCCTCGACGCCTCCAAGGACAGGGGCCGCGGCGGAGGTCGGGATGGGTCATTTCTGGATGAATTGGTCCAATGGCCGCTGGTGGTCGTTGTGCGACTCCATCACTTCTCAGGAGCTTGGCCAGCCCGTCACCATGCCTTGGGTGTACCAACCGTCAGTCAGTCCGTCCTGCCCGCCGTACGGATGGGCTTGGGGCCAAAACAGCCAGTCGCAGCTAGCGACCGCCGAGTCGATGGTGTTATCGTCTTGTCTGTTGCGTGTGTGTGCGTGCGTGCGTGTGTAGATGGATGCGTCTGGCGCATGTATGTACGGTTGGTTCGCAGCGCTCGCTTTGGGCTCTCTCCCTCCGCCTTGCGTCTCGAGGAGTCGTCGTTGGCCTACCCCATCACTCCGCACAAAGAAGCATTATGCATGCATGGAGCGTCAACACCAACCCGGCGGGATGAGCAAGTTTGATGGGCCTTACCTTACGAAATGGCGAGACAAGAGTCTCTGCTGGTGGATGATGCCGGCGCCCCGGCGCAAAAGCTGTCATGGTGCAGCATCAGATGTCCACAACGCACCGCGGGCTTCACGGGATAAGCGCGCACAGGCTTTCCCACCCGGGACTGGTTACGCACGGCGATTCCGTAACGAGGCAAGACTTGCGCAGCTGGCGGGGGGGTTTGCCTGTGCTGCCTGGCCTGGCCATCTCGTCCCACGGCACGGGGTGCTGTGTGGCACTTGATAGCTGTTGAACCAGCACAACCGCTTGAGCCGGTACCAACGGGACGGATCCGACGACTTTGGGAACGATAAGCTCGAATTGATGCAGGGCGTGTGCTTAGCAAGGCAGTCGTCCATCTACCCCCGGGTCCCCTCTCGCCACGTCCGTTTGGTGCGTTTTTGTGTATCCGATACCCGGGCAGCAGCTGCGGCCGCCGTGTGTGCGCTTGTATCTGCAACTTTGGCAACCCCGTGATAGCATGTACCGCGTGTTCTCGGCATACTAGGCGTTTGGGCAGATCGGACAAGCAAGAATGTCGACCTGGTTGCATCAGCAGTGGACCTCTCAGCCCATTTCCCACACGGCCCTTCTTGGCCCTTTAAAAACGACGACGACTGCTGCTAACCAACTGTCCCAGACGACGGTGTGGCAATCTAGAATTACTGGGTGGTTGTGCATTTGCGTGTTGTGTCGAGCCTTTCTGCCACGATCCTCCAGGCGCCGGGCTCCTCGCGGGGAGAAGAGGGCAAAAAAGCAATTAATCGATCTGCGTTTCCGTTTTGAGTACCCAGTCGTCCTATCCCATCAATCACATCGTCCCAAGTGTAAAGTCCGCCGCAGGTCAGTGGGATGTTGTGCGTTCTCCCCCCCATTCCAACCGCGACGCTACGCCGTCGAGTGAACTTGGTTCGAGTTTTTGACACGGATGGGCCATAGAGAATCATGCAAAAAGCCCGCATTGTCACTTGCAGGTAGATCAAGCGAACAAATGCAATGCCAGTCATAGGTTCATACCGCGGCTGCGACTCGTGTCGTAAATGGAAGAAGAAGGTACCAGACCAGATTGACAACACCAAGCACCACCGCCGGCCCCCATCCCCATCTCCATCCCCATCCCCCTCGCCCTCGCCCTCGCCTCTGCCACGACTGACATGCGTCCTTCACGTCTATCTAGTGCGATAGCACGCAGCCCGGCCAGCCGTGCTCGCGCTGCCGGACAAGGAACATTGCCTGCGTCGGCGTCGGCCAGCAGCGCTTCAAGTTTATAAACCAGTCCTCGTCCTCGTCCTCGTCCTCGTCGGCCTCGTCGGGTGGTGCTGCCGCTGCCGCTGCCCACAGCCAAAAGGTCGTCAGCCGCTTCGTCGAGCACGCGACGCCCCTGGCCACGGGCAGCCCCAAGTCGCCGCTGCGCAACGGCAACGACCGCGTCGCCGACACACTCGTCTACTTCCTGGCCTCGACGCACCAGGGCTACAACCTCAAGCCCTTCCGCCTGTCCGTGTTTGGGGAGCTGCCGCGCCGCATCGGCTACTCGCCCGCCCTCGACGCCTCCCTCGCCGCCTTCACCAGTCTCCTCGAGACGCGGCAGTCGCCCTCGGAGCAGCTGAACCCCAGGTCGCTGCAGCTGTACGCGTCCGGCCTCAAGGCGCTCGAGACGTCGATTGCCAACCCGTCGTCGAGATACCGCTCCGACACCCTGTGCGCGGCCTACATACTGTCCGAGTGCCACATATGGCAGGGACGAAATGCTAAGCTCTCCCGTGGACATGCCGAGGGCCTGGTGTACCTAATAAATAATATAGCATGTCAGGATTTAAAAGATTTATTTCTCCGCGGCATATGCTACGCGATAACGGCCAACTTGGTAGGTCCTCGACGAGCGAACAAACGGACCACGAACCCGTACACACACACAGAGAGAGAGAGGTACATGAGGCTAACCGGTCTGCGCTCTAGCTACAAGACAGCGTCTTCAACCCAAACGTCAAGCTCAACCCGTGGATCCAGGAGCTATACGACATGCCCGAGCAGCCACTGCGGCCGCTGCTGGACATCCAGGCCATGTCCCGCCTGCCCACCTGCGAGCTGCGCGTCTTCGCCATGCTCCCCGACCTCATCAGGCACCCCAGCGAGAACAAGGAGCAGATCCACTGGATCTACAGCTACATCCTGGACCAGTACCTACAGGTCAAGGTCTTCATCAGCGCCAACCGGGAGACGTCGTGCTGGAACGCCTACGACGGCATCATATGCAACGAGCGGCACGGGCTCTTCATCGCCATTGGCATCACGCTCAACGCGCTGCTGCGCGCCTTCAACCCCAGCAACATACTGCTCGTCAGCCAGCGGTCCATATTCTGCGCCGACGCCATCATCCTCGCCGAGAGGGCCAAGCAGGAGCGCCCGCTGGCCGCCCACCACGTGCCCCAGGCCATCGTGGCCGCGTGGTGCGTCACCGACGACGAGGGGACCAAGGAGACGCTCCGGCAGCTGATTGAGGACTACCGCTCCACGTTTGCCATGGCCAAGCTCGTGCAGCACCTCTCGTGCTGGCCCGAGGCCCCGGCCAAGCTGCGCGAGATTCCGTGGCTCACGCTGCCGAAGAAGACGGAGGCGGCAGCGGCAGCGGCAGAAGCGGCGGCAGAAGCGGACGCCCAGTCGGTTGACACGGACGACGGGACGGAAATCATCGACAGGGAGACGCACGAGTTTTGCTGCATTCTATAGCCTTTGGTTGGCGGCGACGGGCTCGCGTGCAGGTTGTTCGAGACAAAAGCAGGCACACACGGTACCATTGTACTTGTCTAATCAGAGACGAGGGGGGCGCCCCAAAGGGGGGAGGGGACGGATGGGGAGGGGAGGAGAGAATGGCCAAGGAAAAAAAGCCTGGCCATGGCTTTTTGTGTAGTCAAAGCTGCCGAGAGCGGCACACTTGGACCCAGGAAGCATAACGACTTGGGTTCGCATGCTTGAAGCGTCTGGCAGGAGGACGCGGGCTGGGCCACCGGACGTTTCACAACGGCGGGCGCAGCGCATGACAAATACACGGCGTCGGTGCGATGTCCATGGCGACGGGGCCATACTTACATACCCTTGATTAGATGAAAAGATACCTCTTGCCAACAACATCGTATCATTGTGCGTGTCTGTGCCGAGGAGGATGCTTTCGCAGATCCTTCCGTTCCACGCTGGGTCAACATGATGATCCTTGGGTGAAGCGACGGGTAAAAATTGTCAGATATCATATGGTCTAGAACGGAGAGGGGGTGGGTTTTATATAGAATTTAAAAAAAAAAAAAAAACGCTGGCTCGACTGCCGAGCCAGCAGTGACATGCGGTAAATAACTAGTACTACTACATACAATATCCTACAAAAGGGCAAGCAATCAAGAGGTTGATCCCATGTCGATCCCGTAAAGGATCCGGCCCACTTGGGGGACTTTTCCAGCGCCCCGACGAAAAAAAAAAAAAAAAAACAAGAGAGAGACGTGGAGAGACTAGATACTGTTGGGCCGGTCGATGCTGTTGCTGCAGACCATGATGGCTGTCTGTCATTTGATACCAGTCCTACACAACCAACCAACTCGCAACTCGCAACTCGCCCTTGTTGTTGTTGTTGATGTCCAATTGCCTCTTCTGCGACGATGCCAACATGAGAAGACGCTTCCAAGAGGGCGTGGGAGGAGACGGTGCTCGGTGCTCCCGGTGCATAACTCGGCCCCCAAACCCTCGACCCCCCCCTTTCACCCCGGCCAACTGACCAGGACCACGTAGCCCAAGCCGACCAGACAGCTTCCTGGCCGGGAATGTGGTCTGGTCTCAACTTGTTTTTTGTTCTGAAACCCACGTGGGACCAGGAGTCAGCTAGTACTCCGTAAAAAGGAGAAGTACATAGTACCAGTCGTCCCTCGGCAGCTGCCGCCCCGACAAAGACACGGCAACCGGAAAACATGCATGACAGGTCGTTGAAATCGTGACCACTGCCCTGTTTTTCTTTTCCCCATTCACGTCTCCAGCTCGACGCCGTTGCGCTGCACGTAGTCGACGAGCGGGCCAAAGGCGCGGCACTTGTGGTGGATGTTGAAGTCGGCCCTGACGCCGAGCGGGCTCGCCTCGTCGTGGAGGAACAGCACGGGCGTGATGTCACCGGTGCACATGAGCGAGAGCCGGAGGGCCTCGATGCAGTGGTCGACGTGGGTGCGACCCGTCGCGGCGTCCTGCAGCATGGACGGGTAGAGGTCCTCGCCCCAGGATGGGTCGAACCTGTCGAGCGGCCACGAGTACTGGCGCAGCACGTTCTGGTCGCGAGTGAGGGAGTCAGCGCAAGTCGTGGTTGCCGTTGGGTTGAATATATGTATGTATGCATGTAGTCTGGCGTGGCAGTGGCAGTGGCAGTGCACACGGCGCAGATCACGGTACACCCAGGAGGAGGAGGAGGAGGAGGAGGAGGAGACCACATGTGCAGTATCAAATCAAGTTGGACGTACCAGGCAGTGTAGTTGGTGGAAAACCTCAATCGTAGCCCCAAACTGCGGATGGGCAGGGTCGCTGCCCTTGACTTGGGCGTGTCTGCCGGCGTGAGTCTGGTTCAACGCCGCCACGCCTGCGGCGTCGACGCGGATGAGATGGTCTGGGGGAGGGTCAGCGGGACGGGGTGCATCGTTTGGTTGCTTTTTTGCCTCTTGGTCGAGACACGGGAGGTTTGCTCACAGTGCCAGAGGTCGTTCCAGGCGCGCTCGCGCTCGAGCGTCGGCGGGCCGCGATACTTGGTCGACGAGTTGAACTCGTTGGCAAAGTTGCCCTCCCAGAACTCGACGGCCTCCCACATGGGCGCTGCAAAGGGCCAGACGGCGACCGTTAGCGACGGGCGGGTTCAGACGGGCCGTACATGTAGAATCGTGTTCAACCCACAGTATGGTGAGACCTTCTGGGCGCATTCCAGGTGCGAGGGGGACGGCCGCCGGCGAGCTGCCACCGACAAGAGGCATATCGACGTCAGGAGCAGGACGAGGTTGCCGAGAAGGGCCAGCGTTGCCTGTCTCCGCGTCCAGATCGGCCGCCTGCGAGAGGGCGAGCTGGTGTCTTCCGTCGCCGTGTTGATGATGTTGTTGTTGCTGTCGTCGTCGGCCGGGTCGAACTTGTCCGTCGCCTCCAGGCGCTCGTACCGAATTGATGCCATGTCCATGGTCGGTAGGGGATGATTTTTTTTATTCTTTTTTTTTTTTTTTGGCGTCCAGGAGGAGGACGACAAGTCTTGTTTCAACATCAAGTCGTGGGATGATGAGAGGGGCGCCCCCC